ATTAATGGTTCCCATGGAATCTATTGTATCAATTAGCTAATGAGAAATAAATCATCAGGCTAGAATGAACTTCAACAACTGATGAACTAAATTCATGTTTTAATTTCCTTTGCTCTTTAATCCCCTTAAATCTAGTTGAAATTCGATCTCACATTAGCTCCTAAAGACCTGCTGTTGTCAAAATGGGAGGTGACCTCTAAAAACCTCCACAGACTGTGTCCAACCTATTCCACACCAACTTAACACAGCAGTCTTAAATGTTCTTAGAGTGAAGAAAAAAAATCTGGGATGGAGTAGATCAATGAGGAAAGAAGAGTTGAGAAAGAAGGACTAGAAATTGCAGGGCTAGGCTGGTGGAGAGCCTCAAGGGGAAAGACTGTCTGCCTAGCAAGCATGAGTCCCTGAGTTCAAACCCTAAGGCTGACAAAAAAATTTTTTAAAAAAGGCAGGGTTAGACGTATTTCTATGCCCATAGCTAGTGTATAATAAATATAAATAAATGGAGTGGATTTTTATATTACATTGAAAGAAATTATGTTACTCCTGTCAAATTAGAGGAGAAAAGGACGGACTATATAACAAATTATGTTGGGATAAATGATTAAAATCATGGAGAATGTACAGTTAAATCATAATCTCAGATCTTAAAATAAATTATAGCCAGGCACCAGTGGCTCACTTGTAAATCCTAACTACTCAGGAGGCAGAGATCAGGAGGATCATGGTTCAAAGCCAGCCTGGGCAGCAGCAGTGAACCTTATCTAAAAAGAACCCATCATAAAAAAAGGCTGGTGGAGTGGTTCAAGCAATAATAGCCTAGCAAGCATGAGGCCATGAGTTCGAACCCCAGTGCTGCCAAATAAATAAGTACATAAATTATACATGAATAAAATATTTAAGATAAAAAATGAAACTGAAAAAGTACTGAAAAAAATATTAGTCAATATTTAGGAATGAGTGACCTCAAAATTATAATTATATAGCAAAGATTGACAGACTTGTATGTGCTTAGTAGTATATATAAATACTTAAATATATATGTACTTAAAAGTATACATATATCTATATTTGCATTATATTTAAACTATCAGTTGTCAAAATATGAATTATTAAACATAAAAGTATTCATAATATATACAACAAAGAGTTGATACTGTTAACTTTAAAAAGCATTTTTATAATTCAGTGAGAAATGCTGATGACCCCCGTATAGAAAAGGAACAGGTTACAAATATGTAGTTCACAAAAGTGGAGATGCAGTGGCCACTAAATGTAAAAACATCTAATAGTCAACCTCACCAGTAACCAAATAACATTAAAGTCATGCTGACTTACTATTTGGACCTATCATATTAGCAAAAATGAGTACTCACTTTCTGAAAGACATTTTGCCAATACACCCCAAAAAGTCCTTAAATTGAATGCATGCAGTTATGATTTGACTGGATATATCCTCAAGATTCATGTTAAAATTTAATCTCCACATAACAGTATTACAAGGTATGGCCTTTAGGAGCTGATTGAGTCATGAGCGCTCTGCCTTTATGAATAAGCCTGATAGGGGGAATTTGCCTCTTTGCCCCCCTGTCCCTTCTCCCATATGAGGACACAGCAATCCTCTCCTCTGAAAGATGCAGCAATATGATGCCATTTTGGAAGCAGAGACTAGGTTCTCTTTAGGCACTAAACCTGCTGGTGCCTTGATCAAGGACTTCTCAGCTTCTAGAACTGTGAGAAATATGTTTCTTTTCCTCATAAATTACCCAGTATGAGGTATTCTATTATAGTAGCACAAATGAACAAAGATATATGCCAATTGATTCAGAATTTGCACTTTGGGGAATTTATTTTCAACAAAGTATGAGCAAAGATTTATGTAGAAGAATAATCATCACAGTACTGTTTAGACTAGAAAAAAGTTGTTTGCTCAAGAGAAACTGCCTAAGAAATTGATTTGTTGACTAGAATACTAAAAGTTCCTGAAAATTAAATTGTAGCAGCATTTTAACATAATATATATATGTATATTTATACATACTATATAGAAAATATATAAATGTTAATAGCATGACATTATAGGACTTTGTTTCTTTGTATTTTGTATGCATATGTGTGGTTTGATTTTACTGGGTTGCTTATGTTACTTTTGTAATTAAAGACCAGCAGAACAATTATTATAAGAAAACACTTCAGGCTTATAAAGAATATTAAAAAATGTAAATATCACCATTTAAAGTAGAGCAAGAATCTCAAGCCCTCTTGGAGGAGGACAAATTCTCTCACTGTTTTGAAGTAACTGGCATTTTGCACTTTGTGAAGAAGGGTGTATATGCTTTTATACATTAAGAAACTATGTGAAGCTTAGTCTGAATGGGAAAAGAGGTGAAATAGTCCAGTGTTATAGTCTAGAGAAGGCTAGCTGAGGACGGTGGATGTCCGGGAAAAGAAAGTCTTAAATCAAACAAAAGGGATAGAGAATATCAACTCTACTCACTTCCTCATTTGGTTCTCAACCCCAGAACTCTCTTGAACCTGGGCTCTTCTGTTTTTCCTAATGTGTCCCACTTCAGTAAAGGGCATCAACAGCTACAAGCTGTTTACACCAGAACCTGGGCATTGAGTGTCCTCTTTATCTGCCCACATTCAGTCAATCACTATAATTTCACAACTACAGTCTACTCAAATCCATGCATGGCTACCCATTCCCTGCCACCACCCCAGCCTAATTCATCTTAGATATTAAAAGAGCCCCTGGACATTCTCTCTGACCTCTATAACAATCACCAGAGCAACATTTGTAAACCCGAATCAACTCCTTGGTTCCGTTGCATAAACACAAGACAAGGCTTCCCTGGCCCTTAGGATGAAGTTCAACTCCTTAATGGGGTTTTCAAGACTCTTTCTGATCTGGTTTTAACTCTTATACTGCCCTGAACCTACTCAAGCTACGTCCAGCCACACTCAACTTCTTCACTTCCTAGAATGCACAGTGCTCTGTCTTAGGAGAAGCAATCTTCCTTCCATCTTTGCCTGGGCAACTCCTTCTCATCTTAAGAATCCCAGCTCTAAAGCATTCCTCTCAGGAAAAGCCTTTGCTCACCCTTCCTGGGATAGATGCCCAGGCCATTTAATGCCCTTTACTTCCCCTTTTGCAGCACATATCATGGATGACTTGTCTTCCCTTCTCAAGTCTGATCACAATGGTAGGAACTGTATCTTTCTCGTTGATCAGTGTCCCCATTGGCTAGGCAAAAAACACCATCACAAAAAAAACCAGGCTGGCATATACCAGACATAAATATTATTAAATTGGTGCTACTGTCAAGAACACCACCACCAACAAATGTTGGCGAGGATGAAGGGGGTGGGGAAGGAGCCCTCATACACTGCTGGGAATGTAAGTTAGTACAACCACTATGGAAAACAATATGGAGGCTTCTCAAAAAACTAAACATAGACCTGCCATATGACCCAGCAATACCATTCCTAGGGATATACCCAAAGGAATGCGACTCAGGTTATTACAAAGGCACCTGCAGCACTATTCACAATAGCTAAACTATGGAAACAGCCAAAATGCCTCAATACCAATGAAAGATTATGAAAAGGTGTATTCATACACAATGGAATTTTATTCAGTCACAAAGAAGAATGAAATTTTGTCATTCACAAATAAATGGCTGGAACTGGAGAACACCACCTTAAGTGAAATTTAGTCAGGCCCAGAAGGCCAAAAATCACATGTTCTCCCTCATATGTGGACTATAGACCTAAAACAAATGCAGAAATATTATTGGACATGGGTCATACACAAAGGGGAGACCGGGTACGGGAGAATAGGAAAAGAGGAGGAAACCTAAAACTTGAATGTGGTTGATATGCTCACTGTAAAGGAGTGAATAAAGTAATCTTAAACTGGCAGAGGCCACTATGGGATAGGAACTAGGAAATAGTGAAGAGGACTGGTAGAGGTGAACCAATATGGGTTGTGATACACATATGCATGGTAATAACACTAGGAATCTCTCTGTATAGCTATCTTTATGTCAAACCAGCAAAAACACTTCTTATCTCTTATGTTTTCTCTTCAACAAAGTTGGAGAACAGGTTCTGTCCAGAAGGTGGGGGGGTTGGGAGGGGGTTAGGGGGTTGGGGGGAGGTGGAGGTGGGGAGGGGTGGCCCAAATAATGTAAAAACAATAAAATAAAAATTTAAAAATATTGTTAAATTGAATTCAGTTGACTCCCTTATTTACACTTTCATTTCCCCCCCTTTCTTTATCCTTCTTGATTATAGCTGCCGACACTACCTAGCTCCTCTGGTAACAGGCAGAACAAGCAGAAGAAAGGAGCTAGCTAACACGTATATTAAAATTTAGAGGTAGAGATAATCTCTTTTTGTCTATCGGTCTCTGTCTCTCTCTCACACACAGTCTCTCTCTCTCTCTTTCTCTCTCTCTCTCTCTCTGTGTGGATGTGTGTGTGTATGTGGATGTACTAGTTAAGTGAAGACAAGCTGAAGGTCCTTTTTATGACTTATAAAGCCAGCAATTCATTGAAGAATCATGGACTCACACTGGGATCGAGTGCTCACAAATGACTGTGAGATTTTAGTGGCATGGATGAAAAAATAAAATAACACATCATTTGACTACTGAAAACCAAGTACAATGGTGACCTCTTTTTAGAAATTCAACTATTTAAATTTCATGGAAAAGATTTTTAAAGGGCATAGAATTAAAATATCTGCCCCATCCCTCACTCCCAGGTAACAAACCTTTAGAGTTCAGTTTCTCTGCCTATGGCTAACAGATGAGCCATTCCCACAGTGCCAGTTCTCAGTGAGGAAGAAAGCTTCTTAAATCTCTCTTTCCAAAAAAGCCAATTATTTAGACAATCTAGAAAGGGCAGAATATTTACATTGACTTCTCCGCCCCTTGCAGCTGCTGCTATAAAATCCCCCATTCTCACTCTCCAGCAGAAGCTACAGGTTGAACTTACCCTCTGCTGCAGATGATTTCCAGGGCTTCCAAGTTTCCATGGTAGGCTGCCAGCAGAGTGGGAGTCATGCCATCATCATCAGAAAGATTCAGGTCTCGCTTGGTAGCCTCTTTCAGAAGTTCTAGGTAGCTATCACTAGCAGCTTGGTGGTAGCGAGTGGACATTTTTTCTGCTCATCAAAGCTTGGCCAGATCTCTTCTAGGCAGAACAGAAAGTTGGCAGAGCAGCCTTCCTTATAGAACTGGTTAATCAGTGACAAGGAGTGTCACCCTAAGGCAAAGTTCATTCCAGCCTTTTTCTTTGGAAGATAGCCAGAAAGGTTCACAGTACTGAACTTGGACCTTTCCTTTCTGAAATAGCCATGACACCGAATACTGAAGCCTCCTATGGTCATCTCCAGTGCTGTGAGGCACATTTAATTTTGTTGTGTCCATTTACAAATCTTGAATGTAATCCTGGTCATCTAGGCACAGAAGGTAAAAAATAATTCCCAAAACATCAGATCTACTTTAGTTCACTGAGGAGGTTTTTTTAAAGCTTTATAGAGGTATAATTTGTGTTACTGGAAAAATGGCATTGGTAATTACCTCAGTTCTTTCAACAGGCAGGAGAAGAATTTAAGCAAAACACAAAAGATGTAGTAAAAGTAACAGTAAAGCTTATTAGAAAAGGAATACACTTTCAACAGACTACAAGTGGGTTGTCTCTAGAGAGAGAACAAAAGCTCAGATTTTAAGGTTGGAATATTTATTGAAAACTCTTATCTTTGGGTCCTTTTGGCCCTGACAAAATTTTCTGGGTTTGGATCATTGTCTTGTTAAGAGAGACATTGTGTAAACTATTTACTATTACCTATGTAAACTATATCCTGCTCTAATTCATACAGAATTTCTGTTTGAAATTTCTAACCCTTGCTGTATCTAGCTCTTAGGTCTGCTAGACCTGCTAGCTTGTTAAACTTGTGAAAACCACCTTGTGGCACACCTAGTTGAGGTGCAGAATGTGATTGGGTAAAGAGTGGATTAACTTTATGGTAGTGGCTAATTTCAAAGCATTCTGTGTTAATCTCTGGGCTCTGGCTACCTGATCTCAAATAGAGATTAGTGGAGTTGGGAAGTTATATTACAATGATTTCTTCCTTTCTTCCTCTTGTGGCCACCATTTATGTCTAACTGCTACCTATCAATTTGTATATCTTGAAATTTACCAGTTTGAAATATACACTTCAATGGCTTTTAGAAAATTTACCAAGTTGTGCAACCATTACCAAAATACAACTTTAGAACATTTTTATCACACTAAAAATATCTTTCATGTTCATTAGCAATCAATTCCCAATTCTACTCCTAATTCTAGGAAACTCCTGATCTGATTTCTCTCTCTCTCTATATATATATATATATTTGCTTTTTATGAGCATTTCACATAATTGGAATTGATACACAGTGGAGCTCAGGTGGTGAGGGCCCTTGTTCCACTCTTAGGTGGAAATCAAAGGCAAACTGGAGCAGCAAAGGTCGGAGAAGTTCTATTTGTAGAGAAGAAAAAGAAAAGGCAGCATGGAGTCATGCAGTGGGATCCAGAAACAGGTGGTCTGCTGAATCAGGTTGGAAATTGGGTTTTATAGCTTTTTTTATTGCCCAAGGGCAGAGGGTCTCTCTGGTGTGAAAAGATGTTTCTTGGGAAGGAGAAGTGTCTCCCTGGCTAATTGACACCTTTTGGGAATAGGTGGACCCCCAAGTCTGCCCTTCAAGTCCCCTCCTCCCCACCCCCAATGATTGCCCTAACTGCTGTTAGGAATAGGGATGATGAAGTCTATTTAGTGACTGCTTCCTGCTGTTAGGAGCAATGAAGGGGCCCTACAGCATCAGGGCTGACCATGAGGGGTTATTGAGGGGACCGCAGTAGTAAGTTGTTTTCATTTTCATCAGAGGCATCAGTAATTTGAGGGATTTTAGGCAAGAGGAAACAAACTTGACAAGTAAGTTTAAAATGCAAGTCCCAAACACAAGTAAGAGAATAATGGCAACTATAGGACCCAGAAGGGGTAGGAACCATGTCCTTTTAGATGATTGGGGACACCAGGCACAGTGGAGATGGTATCTTATGTCTAGTCACCTAGAGAGTCCCTGAGTTACTTTTGCCTTAAATGTAGACCCATTATCACTTTGAAGGCTTTTTGGGAGACCGAAGTGAGGGATTATTTTTGTGATTAGAATTTGGACCACCTCCCTAGCATGTTCTGTGCTGCAAGGAAAGGCCTCCACCAATCCAGTGAATGTGTCCACCAATACTAACAGTAGTTTTGATTTTGGTCCCCTGGCATATGGGTAAAGAAGTCTAATTGCCAGTCTTCCCTGGGATAGGATCCCTGCCTCTGTGCCCCTGGCACCTGGAGTCTTTTATTATTGGGATTATTTTTTTGGCACGTTTTACATCCCTATACATCTTATTGGGAAGTATGCCTTAATTTAGTTCCCTCAAACATTTTGCTGACCAAAATCAAAGTGTTGTTTAAGCCCAAATGATAAAGTTGGTGGAGGGTCTTAAGAATTTTCCATTGGAGTGTCTTAGGGAGCCATAGCTTCCCTTTAGGGGACACCCACCAGCCCTGCTGATCCAGCTGGTACCCTGGGTCTGAGGTTTGTTTACTTTCCTCTGATCAATATGGTGATCTCTCTTGGGGAAGGAGAGTCCCCTTCCAGAGGAGAGGGCCAGCTATATATTACTGCATGACTGCCTGTATAGCTGCCTCTTCAGCTGCTTGGTTTTCCTTTGCTATCTTATGTTCCCCTTTTTGGTGAATTCTGTGAGGAACCACCAAGACCTCTTTAGGTAATACAACAGCATCTAGGAGGGCTAGTATGTCGGGAGCATGTCTAATGGGAGATCCCATTGTAGTTAGAATTCCCTTTTCCTTCCAAATGGCTGCATGAGCATGTAGGATCAGGAAGGCATACTTAGAATCTGTGTAGATGTTGACTCTCTGTTCTTTTAACAGTTTTAGGGCTTTTGTTAGGGCCACTAATTCTGCCAGTTGAGCACTTGTATTAGGAGGAAGAGGACCTGATTTGAGGATGCCAAATTCTATCACAACTGCAAACCTTGTGTCACCATTTTTGACAAAGGAGCTGTCATCAATATATAATTCTAGATTTGGGTTTTTTAAGGGCTGATCAGTCAAATTAGGTCAGGCAGCATAATTCTCCATAAGGACCTCCTCACATGAGTGTTAAGGATTTCCCTCTGTCTCTGGTAGACCTGTCAAGGATAAGGCTCTGACAGGTCCTTAAAGGTATTTCCATCTCTCCGAGCAGCTGGGCCTGGAATTTAAGTAGACAGCTGTTGGACAGCCAAAGTCCTCTTTTTGAGTTTAAAATTCCCCCTAGGTCATGGGGAGTGTAAACTGTCGGGGGCTGGTTCAGGACTCGTTTTTGAGCTTCAGGCACTAGAAGGCCAATGGCAGTGACTGCTTGAAGACATCCTGTCCATCCCTTGGCTACCTGATTTAATTCTTTACTTAAGTAGCCCACTGACTGGGGAGTGATGCCCCACAGCTGAGTCACCACTCCCAGGGCCAGCACTTCCTTTTCATAGACATACAATTGAAATTTGTCTTGTACCAGATGACCCAGGGATGGAGCTGTCATAAGGGCCTTTTTAAACTGTGAAATGTACTTTTTGACTTGTTATTCCATTTAATAAAAGGCTGGGGATCCTTTTGTGCTTCCTTAAGGATCTGATATAAGGGCCTGGCTAGTCTACATATCCTGGGATCCAAATTCTACAGCATCCTGTCACCCCCTAAAAGGCCCTCAATTGTTTTAGTGTCTTAGCTAGAGGAAACATCAGGACTGAACAGATCATATCTTCTTCTAGAGTCCTCATTTCTTTCTCCAGGACAAGACCTAAACTCATAACCCTAGACTGACACAATTGGACTTTTTTTTTTAAAAGAGATTTTATAACCTCTATTTGCTAGGAAGTTTAGTAAGGATTCAGTGGCTCATGAAATGACAGGGTAAGTTGGTCCACAGAGGAGGATGTCATCTACATATTGTAGCAGAGTAGCTTGTGGACACTGCCATTCTGTCAAGTCTTGGGTTAGAGACAATCCAAAGAGATGGGGGCTGTCTTTGAACTCCTGGGGGAGGACAGTCCAGGTGACCTGCCCAGTCTTTCACATGGAGTCCTCAAAGGCAAAGGTAGGTTGACTTTTAGGGTGTAAGGAAATGCAAAACAAAGCATCCTTTAAGTCCAGGAGAGAGTAGTAAGCAGTACCTGGGCTAGAAGCATATAGGGATTTGGAACTACAGGGTGGAGAGGCAGTACTGCTTCATTGATCAAGCGGAGATCTTGGACTAGCCTCCATTTGTTAGGTCCCTTTCTGACTCTGAGAATAGGAGTATTATATGGGTTGGAGCATTCTATTAACAGTCACTGTCTCTTCAAGTCTTTGATTATGGGAATTAGTCCCTCTTTGACTTCTGGTCTTAAAGGATATTGTTTCTGATGGGGAAACTGAGAGGGGTCCTTGAGACGAATTAGGACTGGGACCACTGTTCATGCTTGTTCTGCAGTATGTCCATCCATCCACACTGTGGGGTCTATTTGTTCCTCTATCAGGGACAAGCAAAAATACTCCCATTGGGGGTAAAAGGTGCTGCACCCCCAATTTAGACAGAAGATCTCACCCTAGCAGAGAAGTAGGGGTTTCTGAGAAAATTAAAAAGGAGTGACAGAAGTGGAAATCTCCCCAGGAGCAGACTAGATGCTGAGTGAAATAATGCTCTATGGGCTGGCCTGATAAGCCCTGAACAGTAATTTTCTTTGAGGACCAAGTCTGTGAGAGAAAGGAATAGCTGAAATGCTGGTTACAGTATCAATAAAGAGGCTGACCTTTTGCTTTTTAATAATAAGTACTGCCTGGGGCTCCTTTGGTTTTATGGTGGCCACAGGAGCTTGGATGGGAGGCCCTGGGACCTGTCATTGGGTGGGAGGCTGCCTGGGTCCTCTTGGGAACTGAAAACAGTGTGGTTTACAGTGATTTTTCCAGGCAGATGGGGCAGGTTCTGGAGGTGGCTTCCTCCATGGACACTCCCTCCTAAAATGGCCTTCCTGTCCACATTGAAGACATGTCCCCAGGTCTAGACTGTGTTCCAGA